TTTAAAGGGGTTTAAAGAATATATAATATCCATTGTTTTTAAAAGTCATTTCTTTCTTACAAGAGTGCAAGTCATTTCTTTACCCTGTACCACTTCTCTCTCTCTCTTTCTCTCTCTCTCTCTCTCTCTCTCTTTCTCTCTCTTTCTTTCTTTCTCTCTCGGTCAAGAAGAAGAGGTCCTTAGCCTTACACACGTAGAAGGCTACGTGTTTGTTACGCAACACCACACACTCGTGAGGTCTTCGCGTATGAATGAGTACATTCATAAAGACGATGCCGGCTCGGCACGTACTTACGTAGCAGCACGCATACGTACGACGTTACTGCAATCTCAATAAGAAAATATGTCTATTATGTTGTTACAATAACGATATCAATTCATTGACCGTCGCGGCACTGGTGCGGAGTCCCATTGTCTTCGGAACGATCATTTGCTTCTCGTATATAAGTCATGGTTACAAAGAAACGTATGATCTCGCACGACGTTTTGTGTTACCCATGACACGATGCACGAGATTATAACTTTGTGTGTGTGTGTGTGTGTGTTTTTTTTTTTTTTTTTAATTTTTGCCATTAAAATATTTAATATCTTTTTTTTTTTTTTTATTATTGATATAGATTTTTGTTTTTGATTTTGTTTTTAATATCTAATTGTCTATAACAACAATTAAATAAATTTTATAACGATTATTGTTAACGAATTATTGAAGGAAATCAAATTTTAATTGTAATTTTATATGTGTGTGTGTGTATGTGTGTTTGTGTATGTGATAGAATTTATACGTATTGGGTGAAGAAAGAAAGTAATGAGGAGTGGTTGTCGAAAGGAGAATCAAAGATTGAGATTTTCATATTTGTCTTCTTGTACGCGTCACGGTTTGATAAATTGAAGATCATGGTTTAGAATATTAGTTAGTTTAGTTTATTTCATTTTACCTTTTCTTTGTTTGTTCAGAATTTTTCTTTCGCATAATACGTAAATGGGTTGAGTTAAGTTTTTGTTGATATAACAAAACAACAAAAACATCGTCGTAACATTTTAGCTCATTTCGTATATTTTTTCTTTTTTTTTTTTCTATTAAATATAAAATATATCAAATAACGTTTTTATATATATTTATATTTATACAACGTTGACCATTTCAGATACTTCGTTAAACAATTATTAAAATTGCAATAATATATATCTATAATTTATTTATAATAAAAAAATATATATTACAATTAGATTTAAAATTGAAACAAAATTTCATATATAGGTACGTATAATTAAAGGAAAAAAAGAAAAAAAAAAGAAAAACAAACAAAAAAACCGAAAGTCGGTGACTTTTAAGGGACGATGAAGATATATATATAAACGAATCCCATCGAATCCGTACTTCCTCTGTATAAAACTGATATATGATGTTTTAACTAGTGTAGAACTGGTTAGTAATTGAATTTAAAGGGCGGAAGCGAAGAAATCTGGTCCCCTTTCGTATTAACTTAATCAAGTTCAGTTGCCAGTACTGAGTCGACCGTCGCGGTCACAATAGAGACATTAAATTGTCAGTACAGATTTATTAAACCGAGGGTTTGACTGTTACAGACATGAAACTCATTATTTGCTTCACGAAGATTAAGGTGGCGTGTTTAGATGAATTTTTGTTAATTTTTTTTTTTTTTTTTTTTTTTTTTAGAACGTTTTTATTCCGAAACATTTACGAATTTACGAAGATTTCGTTAACACTAGACAAGAAAATTAGAATTAGAATGACGACGTTAATCATCGTGACGTTTCAAATGATATTTCTTATTACACAATTCACGCAATCTGTGAACAGCCTCGTTCCTTTTCCAACCGTAAGCTGTCTCCCATGCGTCGAACAATCGATTGTAATAACTCAAGTAAGTGAAATATTGAAAATATTTGTGAGTATATTTAGTTGGAAAGATTTTTCTATAAGAACCTAATCGATTTAATTCGTCTTCGTATTGTATCAATCGTCTTACATCGTCCGACGTTAATTCATTCAATATATCTTTCAAATAATGACTTCGCAATTTTTTCTTAGATAAAAATCGTAATTGTTTATATTTTTCAGCGTTCGTCAATGTTTTCTCGTATAATCGAAAATCGTGACAAATCGTTGGTTGCACGTTTTTCGATGTAACGCGACGCACTGAATCGTTGGATAATTCTAATGGTATTTGATAACAAACTAAATTCAATGTATCCCTAACGAGTGAACTTTTAATTTGTTCGTCCAACAACGAGGAAATTTGTAAACTAGGACAAGCGTTAACTTCCAATAACCATGGTTTCAAATTTTCGTCGAGTAAAACGTCGATACCGAAAAGTTCGTAACAATTGTACCAAGAATTAGCATAAACACGAGAAAAATTATTAACGCATGTTTCCGCGGAAACTATTGTCTTAACGATCATATCGTGTATCCTTTCGATGATATTTGTCGTATTAATTGCTTGTTTTTCCAAATGATTCCAAAGACATTTGACAGACCATTTGTGACCCTTGCAAGAATCCACGTTGTCGTTTTTTCTGTAATCCGATGAATATTTGTTGATACTATAATTGGTAAGATGCATAAAACGATCGTTCAATGTCGACAAACTGTCTTTGTATTTGTTACTAGCGAATCTGACCAAACCATTTTCGTAAAAATATATTCTCAATGGATCGATACTCGTAACAAGTACGTATAATCTCAGATCGAATTTATTACCGTTTATCAATTTAGGTTTAGACAAGTAACGTTGTATTATCATGCAATTTCGTGTTTTAGGTATTTGTGTTTTATTACTGATAACTTTGATACCACGACCCCGTGACGATGCCGCCGGTTTTATTATCCATTTTTTATTCGTATCCTTAGTTTTTTCCCAAATTTTTAATAAAGATTCTAAATCGTTGGGTAATATATAAGTATTCGGTACAAAATCGAATCTCTTTTTGCCGTGAATTAATATCAATCTGCCAAAATTTCTACACAAACGATCCTTGTGACCGATCTCGTATGATCCAGGAAAATGATTGACCTTTTGGTAATTTTTTAAATTGGAAAAACTATAAGTGTACATTATTTCGTTCCATGTGCCGCACCAATTAACGCAACCCGTTGACAATTTAAATCCCGTATTTCTAACGATTCTTCTTACGATAATTGGCGTCGTCGATGTCAAATCCCATTGCAAACGTCCTTGAATTTCCTGGGGAAAGTATCGGGCTTTCCCGTCGTGCGATTGAAATTCAATGTACGGTGCTACGTGTGGAAATAAACTGTCACGAAGTGGCAATTCATTTTTCAAATCTATCCTATTAGTAATCGATGTTTTATTATTTTTTAACGATGAAGATGATAATAATAGATATTCCGTTATCAATTCGTACAAATCTTCCTCGTTCTGTTCGTTATACTCGTAAGGAAACGATGTTAACCTTCCGTTTGTCGTGTTCGTTGAAACGTTCATAATTTTTGATAGTTATTTTTCTGTTTTCCCCTTTCCTTAAAGATCTTTTTATCTTTTCTTTAAAACATTTTTATTATTCACGCGCGAACGATAATAATAGATAATTATTAATTTAGTAAATAATACAATATATTTTGTAATTCGTACACATTTTTCAATTTAACGATAAATTTAACCTAAAATTGTTGACAGGTTTTGTTGTTGTTTCTGCAGATTATCGATTAGGTGTGCGTTGAAAATGTCGCATAATATATCGAGTATAATAATATAAAGTATTGACCATAATATACCGTGTTGTGATAATAAAAATATATGAAAAATGTAAACGACCGGTTTAGATAGTAATCAAGTATTCATTAATTCTTGAATATTTTTTAACGAGCCTTGGATCAAGTGATATTTCTTCTCGCACAATTTTCTCAACCTGTCGATACCTTGAAGCCTATCATTACCGTACGTGTGTTCCCACGCATCAAGAAGCATGTTGTAGTAGCTTACGTTGTCGAAGTACTTGAAGTACTCGTACGTGTTACACGTGGGGAAAATTTTTTCGAATTTGCCGGTCTGCGAGAGTTCATCTTCGTGTCTTATCAATACTTTCACGTCGTCGGGCGTGAGCATTTTTAAAATTACGTTTAAATAGTTAGAACGATCGTTATTGTCATCTTCGAACAAATGTTTTTTCGTTTTCCCAATATCGGACAATGCGTTATCGTAAATATAACGATTGTAACATGATAAAGTTTCATTGGAAATATCTTTGATATTGTTCAAATCGTTAGCCGTTAAAATATCCGGCACGTGAAAACCAATAAGATTTAAAAAATCACAAACAAGTTGTCCTTTAACAATCCCGCACAATGTTGTTTCAGTTTCCATCGAGGGACAATCGTTTATTTCCAACAACCATGGTTCCAAATGTACATCGAGTAATATATCAAAACCGAACAGTTGACAATTATTATAATTAGATAGATTATTAAATTTTTTCGTACCGGTTATTAAAGAATGTTCAGCTGAAATAATACTTTTAATAACGATACATTTAATCTTCTCCCAAATTAGATTAATATCGGCTCGTTCTTTCAAACGAAGATAATCCCATAAAGCGGTCAATGACCAAATGTTACCCTGTTGTTTATTAGGATCGTCATTTCCACGAAATGTAGGATTAAGTTTGTTGATCGAGGTATTGGTAAGGTGCATGAAACGATCGTAAAGATTATCGATTTTATTCTGATATTTAACGGTGGCAACCCTAACCAGACCTTCGGTGTAAAGGAACATTCGAAGAGGATCAATGGACGTTAAGAGTACGTACAAACGTAAATCGTACTTGTAACCGTCTATCAAGCTAGGATTGCAAAGGTAACGTTGAGCCAGGTAGGAAGATCTTTTCGGTATCTCGTAATAACGGGAAACCAAACGAATACCGTGACCGGCACAACAATCTCCTGGTTTTAGGATCCACGTAGTACAAGCACTTTTCCTATCCATAAATCTTTTAAGTTTGTTATTATCTTTAGGTAATATATAAGATTGTGGCATATAATCGTAAGATTTTTTACCATATTTCTTGGCCATCCTATTAAAATTATTCCACAAATTAATCTTATTAGTTAATTCTCGACAATTTGTAAAATGATTGATCTTTTGATATCTTTTAAGTTTATTAGCTGTACGTAAATAAGTTAAGTTGTTGCACCAAGTACCAGACCAATCGGCCATCGACTTATCGGTCATGGTAAATCCCGATTTGAGAACCGTCAAACGTATCATTCGCGGCGAGAAGTTCTTGGTATGCCACCATAGCAGGTGTCTCGTAATTTCTTCAGGTAATGACGCACCGTTCTTGTCGTACAAGTGGAAGATGATGTACGGTGGTACGTTAGCAAAGAGGCTATCTCGCATCGGTAGTTTCGACTTTTTCTTGTCAACCTGATCGGTCTCGATGGAACGACGATCACCATCGATGGTCAGCAACTTAGTTCGAGTTGTATGTATCCTCCTGGTCATCGTCAACGTTAAAAGCCTTTCGGTTACCTCATCGTATTCGAACCCTTCGTCGTTTTCGAACTCGTCATTCCACCATAATTTGCCGTGGCTGGTACCCGTCGAGACGTCCTTCTTCTTCTTCTTCTTACGTATCCTCATAATAAACTTCTTCCTCGATGTTTTCTTACCCTTTTGTGTGTGTGCGTTTTTTTTTCTTTTTTTAAAAATACGCTTTTGTACTTACATCGTTCATTTCTTATTCCCTTTTTTTTCTTTTTTTAATCTTTTTTCTCTTACGGAAAATTTTGTATGACGCGACGAAACATTATTTTTGTAATGGGTTGCCGTTAATGATTAAGTTAATTTTATAGAACAGAATGAATATAATCGTTTATGTGTTCAGGTCTATGGAAATGTAGAATTTTGTTGATTGGATATTCGTTAGATTGTATACGTACCTTAATCTAGGAACCAATAGAATGGAATCTAAAAAATACTTGCAAATTTATTCTTCTCGTCGAGGAGTTTTTGTTTGTTTTTGTCTTTTTTATATACATTATATGCTTTAAAAAAGTAATTGGAAACGTTGTTTCATGGAATAAAGAAAGAAAGAAAGAAAAAAAAGAGGGACAAAATAAAACATTTTTATTAAATTTCCAAATTGTGTCTACAATCATTTTTGTTAGCGTAATCGTTAATTTTACAAAGGCACGTTATTAGAATTGCTTATTCTTACGTTTAAGCAAAATCAATCGATGGAACACAATAATAATGATACGCGAATACGCTATATATATTATAAAGGACGTTTTATATAATCGATTAGAAAAAAAAACAAAAAATCAAAAGGTTTCATAATTCAGATTGAAATTTGTACACGCGATTCCAATAATATGAAAAAAGTATCTAAAAATTTAATAAACAACTTGTTGCTCGAGATGATAATTGGCTTGACAGAGTTTTTGCAATCTTGAGATCCCCTTTTCTCGATTATCGGAGTAGGCAAATTCCCATGCATCGAGAAGCATATTGTAATATCTTGGTACGTCAAAGAATTGCATGTACTCGTGGCTGTTATTAGTTGGGAAGATTTTTTCGAATTGATCTAATTGCGTTAATTCGTCCTCGTATGCTATTAAATGGCGAACATCGTCTGGCGTTAAATCCTCGATAATTTCATCGATGTAATCCTCGCGATCCCGTAAATTAGCGTACAAAGATTGTTTGTGTCTTTCCTGATAACTCAATGTAGTCCTGTGAAGTCTTAGATCTATACAAACCGGATCTATTTGATATTTTTGTGATATTTTGTCTAGGTCATCAGCAGGTACGGTACGTGGTAGCTGAAAACCAACTATATTGAAGACATTTTTTATTAAGGGACCTTTAACTGCATTGTCCAGCAACGAAGAGGATTGCAACGACGGTGATATGTTGACCTCGAGCAACCATGGTTTTAAATTTTCGTCTAAAATTATATCGACTCCGAATAATTCGTAACAACAATATCTAGATTGTATGTTAGGTCGGCTGAGTGCATTGATCGACGATTCGCCCGATATCATAGTTTTAATAACGATGTCCTTCATGCTCGACCATATTTTCGAAACGTTAATGTGTTCTCTCTCGAAATAAGACCATAACGTTCTCAAGGTCCACTTGTGTCCGGTACAGGAATCGGCCCTATCGTTGCTCGTATATGTCGAGTTGCTCTTGTTAATACTGTAATTCGTTAAGTGCATAAAACGATCGCTTAGATAATTAATATCATCGACGTATTTAACCGAAGCAAATCGTACCAATCCGTCCGGGTATAGATAAATCTTGAGTGGATTAAAACTCGTTACCAATACGTATAAACGTAAATCGAATTTAGCACCGCCTATCAATTTAGGTTTGGACAAATATTGTTGGACGACTACTGGATGTTTCTTTGGTATTTGAGCCCAACGATGTACCACGCGAATTCCTCTTCCCCTAGCCGACGCAGGTGGTTTTATTATCCATTTTTCCTTATTACCCGACGATTTTTCCCATACTTGACGAAAACAACGCAAGTCTTGCGGCAACAAATAAGTTCTTGGTACGAAACCGAATTCACGTTTACCGTGTTTAACCATCATCCTACTGACGTTACGCCACAAACGATCCTTCCTACCAACTTGGAAGGTACCAGGAAAGTGATTGACCTTTTGATACTCTTTCAAGTTCTTGTAAGAAACTGACTTCATGTATTTGCCCCAAGTACCGGACCAGTCGCGGGACTTCTTCATCAGCCGAAAACCGGAATTTACGAGAGTACGGCGTACGATGAACGGTGTTATAGTACTTAATTGCCATTTCAGGTGTTTCCTAACTTCGTAGGGTATCGGCAGACCCTTACCGTCAAACGATTCAAACGCTATGTATGGTGGTACGTTGTCAAAAAGGCTTCTCCTGAAGGGAAACTTGTACTTTTTATCATCCTCATCGTCGTTTAACTCTTCGAGAGTCAACAAATTCCGATCGATATCTAAATAAGGTTCGATTTCTTCGCTCTCTTCGTCGTATTGACTACACTCTTCGAGATCACCCCCGTCTATGTCGTTTACTATACTCGAGATCTCGTGATGATGATTATAACCGATCACGTCCATCTCTAAAAAAAAATCTGTAAAAAGAATTAAACAATTACAAAAAAGTACACACATTTACAAAACATTCTTTTTCATTAATAATTCTTGAATTTTATTCGATACATTATTTTTATATTAAATCATAGTCTTCACGAACGAAATTTATCGATCGTTCGCGTCGATAATTGATAAGTAGGTACAATCTTTTTTCAGAATAAATATGTGTGTTTTTTTTTTATATTTAATTAAGATTATAAATATTTATCGAATGTACGTTAATAAATGATAATATTGTAAAGTCACATGTAAGGATGATTATAATTAAATTCATTCGGTCCGTATGTTTCTCAACATTTTTAGTCAGTTTTCGTAATATATACATACATATATATATATAATATAATATGTCAGTGTTACATCGGTAATTAAAAAAAAAATATTGTCAAGGTATTTAAATAAAAGTGATCAAGATTTATAATAAAATATTATTAATATGTATTCGCGGACACGCGCAACCATCTGTTACGAGTATATTAATTATTAAAAATGTTGAAAAATATTGACGAGAAATAAATAAAAGTAAATCGTTTTTGATGGGATCTTTGCGAAAATCTCTCTTTCAATTATTTACGAAAAATATGAATTATATTTTATGAATTTAATTAACATAGAAAATATAAATGATATTACTCTCACCTGTCGTACCTAAGAATGATTGGCAGTGAACATTGCGTTTTGACGTTGGCAGGAGGAGGAGGAATAACTGCAACAGAATATAACAAACGAGATGTTTCAAATCAATAGAATAAGATAAACAACAATAAAAAACAAAGAGAGGGAAGGAAAAATAAAGCAAAAAAAAGGAAGGAAAGATAATTCTATATAAATCATAAAGTACACGCGTAAAACAAGTATTATTATAATTATTAAGTGACAATATTTGCATTAAAGATGATTACGCGTTACGAGTCGATGCTCACGTAAATATATGATCGACGATGCGGTCATCAAATGTGACGTCGTTTTTTATTTAATTGCTAATACAATCATTCTCGCACGTGAATGATTGTATAACGTCTATGATACGACGTCGATGGCGTTTTACGCACATACGATAAAAAAGATTTAATATCAATATAAACAATTATATTTAATAATATGAATGCAGTTACGTATAAGGTAAATTTTATAAGTTTTCAACTAGGAAGAAGAAAATTTTTGATTGAAAAAAAAAAAAAAAGAAAAAGAGATAAATTTTGGTGTTATTTATTTTACAATTAGGCTCAAAATTTGTCAATTCAATTACGAATGCTTTGATCAAACGATTAATATATATAGTAGGATTATAATAAATAATTAATTTTATTATTTTTATGTTAACAAAATTCTCATATAAATATATTGTATATTATAATATATTAAAATGAAATAATTGTAAAGTGTATATATATATATATGCATGAAAACCGATGAATGATTAATAATTTATCGAATATAAATGTTAAAACGATATTTGAAGTCTGTGTTATATATCTATAGTTAAATGTTGTCAGTTTGCATTTTGACTTAAATATTGAAAGAAGTGATCTGTGAAGCAATTAAACTTCCATTACTATAGATACCTAATCGAAATCTCATTTACATTAGAAAAGAACTATTCGCGTAACTGTTTCTTTTTTTGTACATATTTTTATAGATATTCGCAAAATCTTGACTTGAGATTAAAAAAAAAAGAAAAAAAAGTAAAGAAATAACGGGTTCTTTTTTTCTTTTTTTTTTTTTAAACGGTACGTTAAAAGAACTCGTGTAAGTATAGTTCATTTAGTTGAACAGTTAACAAAATAATGTGTCGAAACGTGTTCGATCAAACAAATGTTTTTTTGTATTTGAAAGAGAACAACTGGCATTTTAAATAGCTTACATTAGATATAAGTACAATCACGTTAATTACAAGGACATATATATATATATGATACAACTGATGTGAGAAAATCGAACAAATACATACATCGTGTGTTTCCATTATTACGATGAATCTTTTCGGTTTAAAAATATCATCTTTTATTCGAATTAAATGTATCGAGGGAAAAGAGGATAGCCGAATATTGTATTGAAAGATTGTTGATCAAATTCTCCAAGATTACTTGTGCAAAAAAAGTATCGACATATTTTGTAAAAAAGTCCTTGTAGTTTAATAATTTGAAAAAAAAAAAAAAAAAGAGAAGAAAAATATATATAAAATTTTCACTTGATAATTGTTAGATATGATTTATTGTTTTTCAAGATCGTTTAAAAATTTTTAATTAATATCTCGTAACATATAAACGTTTATCTTGACAATTGTATTATCTTTGAACGTTAGTATTGTTTTAAAAAAAAAAAATACGAATATGTTTTGTTTCCTTTATAATTTTGATTAACAACTAATAATTATTTAAACATAGAGAAAAAAATTATAATATCATAATTACGTTGTGATTTATTTCTATAATCGTTGGTAAATGTTTAGGAAAAGGTTCGGGGATTGGTTAGGTGAAATAGAAAAAAAGAAATAATTGTTAATTAATATGCTCGAACAATATCTTTTATTATAATAATCTCACAATAAAATGTTTCGCGGTATTTAACAAAGATATACCGAAAAATATTTAATGTCTAGTAAGAAGGGGGCGGGGCGGGGGGTAACAAAAAAAAATTAAAAAAAAAAAAAAGGAAAGATATATCTTAAACATAACAAGTTAACATAATTATATAATAATCGATATACTTTGCGAGCAAAAAATAGTTATTATTTCAGGTACAAAATGGATCCCTATCACAGACATCTTTTTAAAGCTTTTATCACCTATTCACTATGTAGAAGAAAAAGCAACTATTAGATCATGATTTAAAGAAGTAAAAAATAAAAAAAAATGAAACAGAAATAAATTGGACAGAAACGATGTCCAAGAGTATTTACAATTATACGTTCGTTACAATAATTATAATAATAATAATAATAATATAATAATAATAATAATAATATTTGGAAGACGATGATTCGTCGTTTTCCTCCCTTTTCGTTATAATAATTATTATCGTTCATCGAGAAAGGAGGAAAGTTGATTTATTGCTGCTGAATTATTCGGAAACGAATTACTCGTCCCGAATAACACACGAAGAATCCACTAGAATCCCGTAGTCGTATTATAATCAGGGACCAATAATAACAATCGATGATCCCGAAGATCGATGATCTTTACCAAGGTCTCCAGATAGCACCAGACGAGTCCATCGATTCCCCAGAAGAACTGACAACGCTTATAGGACTGTGAGGTGGTGTATAGATATTTTGTGGTACACAAACAGTCATCATAGTTGACGTTGTCGTTGTAGTAGTAGTAGCAGGGGATGAAATAGGTTCGTTATAACCCTTGCTTGTACTTGGAACCGGTGAGGTAGAATTAGACGACGAAATGGAATTAGAATTGTTCGATGTAGGAGAACCTTCCAATCTTCTAAGACATCCACCGAGGTGCCTCATGAGCTGAGCACCAACATTCGGATGAACCGTGGCTGCGACCGGACTTGAGAGGAATTTAGAAACTTCTTGCGCGCACTGCGTGAAACCATCTCTGAATCTGTCGGCGTAACTGTTCTCTGGCGTTAAAGTTAGCCTATGTGCTGCCCTTAACGTTTGCAAATGATGAACTGTCATTTCAAGTATATCAGCTTTTTCGAATTTCGCGACGTTTTCACCTTCGGATTGATGTACAGCAACCATGAGATCTTTCAATTCGTCCAAGCACCGATTAATACGGGCTCTTCTTTTCCTCTCAAGCAACGGTTTTGTAATTTTTCTATATTGATAGGTCCTCGATACCGGTTCTTCGTATTCCATACTGGTGATAGGTGCATAACTCGTATGCGGTGCCATGATTTGATTTTATCTCAACACTCGTTTTATATCGTCCAATTAACACTTTCTCTCTCTTCTTCTTCTCCTCCTTTATCTCTTTCTTTCTCTCTTTCTCTCTTTTTATACCATATATAATATACAGTATAAAAATTTGACGCGTGTGATAACACTGTTACGTGTAAGATATATTAAAAAAAAAACAATGTATCGTGATTATATTATTCTTTCGTTTATGCCTTTAAAAATATGGCGATACGATATGATACAAACGCGTCGGTGTTTATGACGGTTCTGAGTTGGTAGGAGCGCGTGTATGCCGTATTTGTAGGTTCATCCCCCACCACTTGTTTGATGGCTGGGCCCGGCACGTCACGTGCCCTCTCCAATTTCCCCCACCACTAGGTTTTTCCTTTACGCGCGGTACGGGCTGCCTGCCGGCCGGCCGGCAGCCGGAGGAACGTATCGTGGGAAGCTTGCGGGCCGATGCGTTCCCACAGACCAGGAGCCTGCCTGCTTGCTTGCTTGCTTGGTTGCTTGGTTGGTTGGTTGCTTGCTTGCTTGCCTGTGGCTCCTGGCAGCCTAAGGCCGCCAGCCTAAGGCCAAAGAAAGAGTCTAAGGCCACAAGAGAACCTCGGCAAGACCCAAACATTGAATCGATAGAGGGGAGGTGGTATAGTAGTAGTAGTAGGACCCCGCAAGCGGGAACCTCACCAGAGAACAGGACTTTTTATCCAACACGCAAGCATGCATGCATATATATATATATATATATATATGTACTACACATGCACACCTGCATGCATAACTCGTGTCGTATCTCTTACATGTTACACTGTTTGTGTATAGCTGTGTGTGTTGGTTGGTGGGTGAGACACGGGACAAGAGAACGAAAAAAGAAATAAGAGGAAAAAAATAAATAAGAAAGAAAGAAAGAAAAGAGCCGTCTAGCACACGCCACGACGCGCGACGATACTCGTGCCTCTCTCGTGACTCTCCCTTCCTCCCCTCCTCCACCACCTCCTACTTCTACTTCTACTTCTTCTCGTTCTCCTCTTCCCTCTTCCTTTTACATTAACATATATATATATATATAGGTTATATATTTATACACGTATATATATAACCGCGTTAGTTCGTTCGTTCATTCGTAATTTTCGATAGATATTTAAGTATTACGTAAACTTTCGAAAACGTATTCTCTTATTTTTCACGTTCATAATATATTTTTTCTTCCAATTTATCATTTCATCCTATTTGTCACGTGTCAGATACGTTCAACATCCCCTTTCCTCTTCCTCAATTTTTTTTATTCAAAACCTGTCGCGTATATATATATATATTAATTATAAGCTGTATAATCGGAATGTTTGAGTATTATAATTCATTATAATGTACACATTTATAAATCTATACTCATATTATTTATAAATGAAACGAACCTTTTGTTTTTTTTTCTTCCAAGGGGAAAAAATAGAAGGAACACTCAAGGTTGAGAAATAACGTTTGACGTATTTTATCCGTATTTGCTTAACGAATTGGCGTGATACTGTTTCTGTTTCTGTTCTGTTCTGTTCTGTTCTGCATTGCTCGGATTATTTCGAGATGCAGAAGCAACGTTACTACCGTCGTCGCATTAGACCGGACGTATCTCTCCCATCTCTTCGTGATCGCATGACAACCGGTTTCCTGCGTTGGGATCGAGTCGCGTTCGTAGGTCGATTTTTCGAATTAAACGTAGGATCTTAATGACCCCCCCTCCACTCCACTCCACTCCACTCCAGTCCAGTCCATTCCTTCTCCTACCACCTCCCCAACCCTTTCCTTAACCCCTATTCTCTTTTTCTTTTTCTTTTTATCTTTATTTATTTTTCTTTCTATATATTTTCTTGAAGGTAGTAGAGACAGGTTTTGCTTACGGGACTTAACAAGGTGTTTAGTCCTTTTAGAAGGTGATACTCTAAACGAGGGCCTCTGAATAGACTACGCTCATGATATTTATGACCTTCCAGGCCTAAAACAGACGCACGAGTCGTAACATTTTCTTATTTTATCATCCCTTGTTTTAGTAATATTTTTTACTTCTATACAAAAATAGTTTCAATTTGCGAGAGAGATATCAACTAGCGGATAATTTGGTTTCTTTTTTTTTTTTGTGCCTTATACATTCGAATATATTATTGGCGAAAATTATATTTATTTGCTTTTCTAAAAGTGTAAAGTAAGATAATTTTTGTTTTTAATTCAATTGGATGTTTAATTTACTATCGAAAGTTATAATCGTTTGTTAAATTTTTCAGTGTGATTCCGGATTCTTACTTTTTCCTCTTTAGTTTTTTTTTTTTTCTTGTCACCTGGGTGTAGATCTGTTATTATTGTCAGCACAGGTGCAAATCTCTCGAAATGACAAAAAGAGAAATGTTTGTTAAAAATAAATAAATAACTTTGAAATAGGGCAACTATTGTAATATAGGATTAAGGGTAATAAATATCTTTTACTATTGATAGTTTTTCTTTATTCGTTTCAGGTATAGGGGAGGGATTTAGTTCGATACTCGTCAGCAAGAATACAAGATTTTGTCTTCTATCCACGGGGTAGGGGGGAGAGGGGAGGGTTAAGAAAAGAGATCAAATTATTTCTTGGAATTTTTTCAAAAGGAAATAACGTGACGAATTAATATACGTGTGTTAGGTGTATATCGGATATTAGTTTAGAATTGTCAGTTTGTGATTTTTTCCCATCGAAATAAGTTAACGAAACTTTGACGAATTTTCATTCATTTATATCTATCGAAAGAAAATTATAACTATACAATATTATACCGACAAAAAAAAGAAATAAAAAAAAAAAACAATTTTCAACACAATACAATGTACAAAATAACAAAAATTTATAAAACGTGATTTTATATGAGTTGTTAATCGCTTAGTAAGAATGCATTTAACACAATCGATTTTTTATTACTGTGTTCCAATAATAAGCAACATTATTATATATATATATATGTCATTTTTTCTCTCGATGTTTAAACAAACGAAGAATCCTCCTCGTTGTTTGAAATATAACCAAATTGTATAAAACATGCAAATATACACACACATATATATATTATACATGAAAATGGGTATCTACGTAGGAGAGAATATAAATGCAATAGTATGTATATGCGTGCGTGCGTGTGTGCGTGTATGTGTGTGTGTTAGCAGAGAGCAGCAGAATAATTACACTGATTGGTCATCCGAGCCGGATGCTTGCACACGCACGATACTCTTCTCTCTCTCATACACACACATACACACATATTACACATATACTCTTTTCCCGTTGATCTCTGGTTCTGTTGCACTCGCGCACACGCCATTGGATGCAACAAAACGAGGTTTATCCGCGCGGGCATGCAGACACGGTGCATGCTACCGGTGCAACACACGGTGGGACACCAGCTACATATTATTACCAGCGTTAACAACTCGTTATATCCCAATCGGTGTGTGCCTTCTTGATCGAAAGCTACGATTTCCGTCAAAGAGAGAGAGATAGAGAGTATATATATACACACACATATATATATATATGAATTAAACGATATTCGTGTGTCAGTCATAAACGATCATTATATTGCATTTCGTTAATACGATCGAGTATTTTCGATCAAGTAACAACTCTCTTCGTTATATTACCAAAGAAAGAAATAAGGGACGTGAGGGAGGAGGAGGAAGAGGAAGAGAAAGAGAAGGATGAGGAAAATATTACGTATAACGAATACAAGCATATACTTAATACGTACGTGTGCGTATTATACGTGCCTTTTAGTCTCATTAATGTCAATCCAAATCAATTTCTGTGTTTTGCTCGAAGGAAACGATTACATATCCCTCGAAACGTAATTAAAAATTGAAAGGAATATTACGAGACGAATAAAGAGAGAGAGAGAGAGAGAGAGAGAGAGAGAGAGAGAGAAGGAGGAAAAGTAATCTTTTGAAAATTATACCGCGTATTCCTTTCGACTCTGTGTTTTGGTTAATCAGATTAAATACTCTTTTCCTTCCGTATTAATATTTAAATCCTCATTTCTTTTTTTTTTAAGTACCATTTAAGTTCAATATTTGAAAGGTTGGCAGACATCAAAATTCCAAGCATGTATATAAGGTGCTTTCTCTCTCTCTCTCTCTCTCTCTCTCTCTCTCTCTCTCTCTTTTGCTCTCTCTCTCCTTGGCTCGTGCTACGAACGAGAACGTGGGAATATTCTCAGAGAAACTGGAAGCCGTTTCCCTTCTTCTTCTTCTTTTTCTTTCTTTCTTTCTCCGTTTACCTTCGAAAAAGGTGGAGAAGAGGAAGAAGAAGAAGGGGGTAGGGTGCTAGCACGTGGTCGCTTTATTCTCTTTCTCTCTCTCTCTCTCTCTCTCTCACTCTCGTAGTATATTGTTCGTCGAACCGTGAGTCCGCTTTGTCGAAGGAAAGAACCAACCGGGTTCTTCTCTTCTTCTTCTTCTACTTCTTCTTCTTCTTCTTCTTCTTCTTTTCTCTTGTGTTGTGTTGTGTAATGTAATCTTAGCGTGCGTTCGTCCCATCTCCTCCCGTGTTGCCGTGTTGCAACCATAATGCGAGAGCTATTGTACCGAGCACGGGCCATATTGTTGGCCACATCTCGCCACTACCCCTATTGACACCCTACCAACACCCTACCGACACCCTACTACCGACACTCTACAGACACCCTACCAACCAAGTGCCCTTTTCTTATTCTTCATCTTCTTATTATTATTATTCTTATTATTATTCTTTCTCTTTTTACTTATTCTTTTTATGTGTGTGTGTGTTTTTTTTTCTTCTTTTTCTTCTTCTTCCTAATTCGATTTTGACTTCCGCATAAGTTACCCGTTTTATTTTCGCACCCCAGTTGATTTGAAACTACTTCTTCTTTTTTTTTTTTTT